TCAGTATAATTATATACTAACCTGTGGTACTTGTACTCTTACTGTCATTTCCTCGGGGATTACTAAATATTCTGATTACAGTTCTCAGGTGTTTCTAATAAACTGGCCGTGCGTGATGACGTCTTCTCAGTCGATCAGCTGCTGGTTATGGTACACGTGAGTGACGTCACGGTCACGTTCCCCCTCACGGTCTGGTCTATGATGTCACAGTCTGTCAATCCCGCAGAGGGCGGGGTCTCCTAGCGCCGCGATTGGCGAGCCGGGCGGTGACGTCAGCGGGCGCTGAAGGGGAGGGGTTTATCCCGGAGAGCGAGTGTCCGCGCGCTCCGTCAGCCGCATCCTCGTCATCAGGGACTTGGAGAGCCTCCATCATCACCTCGTCTTTCATCACCTCCATCACCTCCGCCAGCTCCATCATGTCCGGCTCTAAGGAGGACGACCGGAAGGGCTCGAGTGAGTGGCGGGATTTCTTCTGGAACCCGAGGACGCACGAGCTGCTGGGCCGGACCGCCGCCAGCTGGGGTCAGTACCACGGTATCCGTGCGCGTCTCCGCGAATCGGTTTGTGTGTTCACGGTATCTGTGAACGCGCACAGCTGATTATTGATTACTGATCGATCGTGCTAACGGTCCGTTAGATCATTGATTGAGCAGAGGGCTCAGAGCGGTTAATCGATAACTAAAGCTGTGCTTTCCAAACTGTGGGGCGGGACCCTCGGGGCAGACGGGATGTTTTAGCTCTGAACTGATGTATTGATTATAATCAATGAGTACTGGAGCTTCGTTAGCAGAGGGCTTACCTGTGAACACCTGCTGAGGACGGGGCTAACACACCTGAGCTCCTGATGTCAGCAGGGTGCTCCCACCTGTCCAGGTGCACCTGCCTGTCACAGGTGGGTTGCTACAGTCGTCCTGTTGTCTGCTCCTGGGCTCACTCACAGCAGAGATCACACACAGAGAGCTTTATTTTCTGACATCGTTTAAGATGAGACCGTTCATATGTTTATAGCACCACAGAACTCTGCACCTCGCCTCCTTTGTCTCTCCACACGTGGGGAGGAGGTGCTGTGAACCTCATTGTACGTGCTTACACTGCCTGAGCGTCTGCTTACCTGGATGCATCCAGGTGATCGTCCCAGGCTGTTTCTGATTGGATGAAAGCTCTGTTGGTCTGCACCTCGGCTTAAATCTGGTTTGTCTCAGACAGAGTCAGCTGCACCTGAAGAGGTGTGTTTGAGGTCAGGAACAGCTGTTTCCAGCTGTTTCCAGGTGTGTCTGTGAGCTCAGAGCTCCATCCTCAGGTGATCTGTTCCACGGTCCAATCAGCTCGCTGTGTCACAGGCGGACTCAGAGATCAATACAGTCACAGACTTCAGTTACTGATAGTCGATGTGATCAAACATCAGGAAGAACGTCTGTCTGATTCTGTTACAGTGAAGGCTGATAACTGATCACAGCTGATCAATAACCCTGATCAGCTCTGATCGGCTGACTCTCATCACGACCAATACTGAAGCAGTGATGTTGGCAGCCTCTCTCTCTCTGAGTGAGAGTGATGCTTGCTCGCCCTCTGACAGCCATGTCCTGTATGAAGGTCATTCTTTAATGTGTGTGTGTTCAGACCATCCAATCAAACTCATCCGCTTAATCCAGATTAAGACACACACTCACACACGGGCAGATATGTTAGTGTGCTCCGGAGGACTCTTAAAGGGACAGTACAACATGTCACTGACTCAGATGGAGGTTGTAGTCACTCTACTGGTCACATGACCATAGTGGGTGGAGACAAAACATCCAGAATTAGGCAGTTAGACCACAGTGAGGTCACGGTTTTTCAGGAGGGAGCTCGGGAGACGTTCTTGTTAAAATGATCTACAGCTGGTCCTTGGGGGGGTACCAGTGTTATAGAAGGTTCTAGATTATTCTGAAGGGGAACAAGGTGTGTTTGGACAGAGCTGATGGAGTTCCTGTGGAAGGTCTGTAGGAAGGACGGAGGGGTGGTAGAGCTCTGGGTGGAACCAGTCACCTCAGCTTTATTCACACAGTGAATCAGTGTTCACAGCAGTGACAGTGTTTCTCTGAGCTCCTGTCAGAGGTCAGAGGTCACAGTGAAGAAACACGTCTGCAAGACGTGCACACAGCTCTGTTATCACTTCAACATAAATGAAGACAGAAAACTAAACAGCAGTGACGTCTGCAGGGTTACTGAAGTTGGGCTAGCTGCTATATAAAACTTCCCTTCATGTCTAAAATTTTCGACATGAAGGGAAGTTTAGAAATCGGCCTGTAATGTGAAAGAGCGTTGGGGTCAGAGTGGCTTTTCTTCATAACTGGTTGCACAACTGCGTGTTTGAAGACAAGGAAGAGTTCATTAAAAGTAAGATACAGGGTCCAATAGTAGTCAGAGCTTCCTTAATAATGCGGGAAGGAAGAATGTCATGCAGCGTACTGCAGCTTCTCAAACGATCAATTATTTCTTTTAAAGTCGAAAAGGATACGGGCTCAAACTGTTGAAAAGCCACAGAGCATTCAGACTGCCGGCAGATATGGCGCCCTTAGTGCTGAGATCTTATCTATAAAGTAATTTCAGAACCTTTCACAGAGAGCTGGGGAGCATCCCTCTGAGCAGCAGAGCAGGGATTAGAAGATTGTAAATATTAGTAATAATTTCTGACAGAAATGAAGCTTTTGCAGTTTGGACAGTCTTCTGATATTTTGATCGGCAGTTATGCAGGATGTCCAGGGACACCTGGAGTTTGTCTTTTTTCCATCTCCTCTCAGCTCGGCGACATTCTCGCCAGAGAGCGCGAGTGGATCATTCAGCCATGGTTGGTAATTGGCCTTCAGCGTTAAGTCATTAATGGAGCCACAATGTCTGAAATCGAGGAGCATGTTGAAATAAAGGAGTTAGCACGTTCATCGACCGATATAGCTGTATTACAGTAGATATCATAAAAAGTAGTTAGTAACGGCCGCGGAGAAGCTGGTGATCCGTACATCCGTAATGCACACGTCCAGACTGGATGACAATACCAGATCAAGCGTGTGGCCTTTAACTGGCACTAGAAGGCATGAGCACATCACCCCTGTGCTCGCTAACTTACACTGGCTTCCCGTCAAATATCGCATTGGTTTCACAATCCTTCTGCTCACTTTTAAAATTCTAACTAACGTGGCCCCTAGCTACCTAACTGACTTCCTTGATCTGTACAACCCAAGGAGAGCACTAAGATCCTCCAGCCAACTGCTCCTAATGCAACCAAGGTCTCGTTTAACAACCAGAGGTGACCGTGCTTTCGCCATTGCCGCTCCTAGACTCTGGAATAATCTCCCAGTCGAAATCCGTACTTCGGAATCAATTCAATCGTTTCAAATCCCATTAAAACCACACTTGTTTAACTTTGATTTCACTCGGTCTGCACTACACCAGCTAAATGCAATTTTAAGTATCATTGTACTATTTGTTTCTTGTTCTGGCCGCATTGCGGTTTTATTGTGAAGCACTTTGATGTACATTAGTCTTTAAATGTGCTGTAGAAATAAATTTTGACTTTACTATATAATGATGTGCTTTTGATCGCTAGCGACACAGCTATGTTAGCATAACCGGTCATGATGGCACCGGATAGGTTCTGACATAAACGGTAGTAACCAGACCGAAAAGCAGCGCACATTTCGGTGCTTTATTTCGGTGCTTTTATTTTCCTGAGCTGTGATACACTTTAGATTCTAGCCAATCATTTTACGTTTCCGAGGATAGTAGGCGGGGCCAGGTACGTACGTTCTTTTAGAGCAGAGCTACAGATTAAAAATGTCCAAGGCGAAGCGGTCAAAAGTCTGGCTGTACTTCACAGCAAAAGATGCAAACTCAGCAGCAACAAGTGCTTTAAGCTGATACTGTGATACTGTCAAAGGAGGTAACACCTCAGAATCTGATGAAACACCTGGCGACGCATAGCGTTTTTTTTAAAAGCCCAGAAATGCGCCGTATTTGATAGCTTGCTGCGAGACCTCACACCGAGCACATCTACTGCGGGTGGGTTGCCTGTTATCAACATCCCCCAAAAACCGAAGAGTGAGAGTCCTGGCCCCTAGCCCTGCCAGTGTAGCAGAAATGATGAGGATGATGTGCAGCAGCAGCCGTTCTTCTCTGCGTGAGTAGCTTAATGTTGTTCGTGTGTAATTTACGTTGAGTAGGCTAACCACGTTATTACATTAATGCATGTAAGGTGAACTAGCAAACATCATCATAGCTACATGCGGCTGTCTTCTTGTTTGATGGCAGATGACTCCCTTCACCCTGGCCAAAAAGGCTAAAATGACCAAAGAAAAAGTGGAAAACAGCTAAACATGAGAGGTTTTTGGACAAAGTTTGTGTTTTTTCCATTGTTTAAGCACTGCTTCCAGCCAAGAGTGATACCATATATGCCCCATAGCTGCAGAAAAGGCTAACATTGTTATCTTTTTACAAAAAAACAGCTGAACATGAGAGGTTTTTGGACCAATTTTGTGTTCTCCATTCTTTAAGCACCGGCACCGTTTCAAAAGTACCGGTTTGGCACCGGTATCGGATAAAACCTAAACGATACCCATCCCTACCCATGAGGCTACATTCTTTAGCGCTATGCCTGTAAAACTCTGCTCATATTAAATCATTTTTTGAATAATTTTTAAAATGTTTCTTCACGTCAATATGTGAGCCGCAAGTGGGGATGACATGGACTGCAGGTGACCTGCAGGCCACAAGTTTGAGACCCCTGGCCTAAGGGAAGCATGTATAATGTAAACAGAATTGGTCCTAGCACTGAACCCTGTGGAACTCCATAGTTGACCTTGTGTTTACAAGTCACCAATTTATCTAGACAAATATAACACAGACAGCACTACCTTCAATCTAACAAGGTAGTACAGAGCTGTTAATGAAACATTAGAAAGCTTATCAGACCAAAATAACTGCACAACCTGGCTCAGAGGAAGAGAGAGACCACACAAAGGCTTAATATGCTATAAGATATTTTAATGGAACAAAGTAAAGAAACCTAAAAACAGATTAAGTGGTGCGACATCCATGGCTGAATGCACCATGTCAGGATAAGTTCTCGATCACCCAGGGAAGCATAAGGAGCCAAGAAGGAGACCTGGATGTTCAGTCAGAGTTTCTTTATAACACACCGGGGACTGGCCTACTAAGGTGTGCTGCATCTGAAACTGGGTCAGCTCCACCAACTAGACACCTGAAAGAGACAGGCAACAGGAAAGCAAGGCTAGCCCACTGGCTGTCACAGTGAACAGGTAAAACCTCTGTTCCTCGAGTTGCATTCAGGTAGCTGTACAGGGCATTGACGATGACAACAGTGGGCAGATTATATCCTTAAACTCAGCTCTGCACTTTCAGAAAGACATATACTGTGATGAAGTGATGGGGGCCATACAGGACAGTGAGGACCTGTTTGTTCTCCACCAGCTCTCTGCCACTATAGCAAGGCTCTAGACTAACTTTTTGCCAGGGTTGCACCGGTGCGCCTAACTTTTTCAACCGCATCGCTTAACACCGCAGTTTTACATGTGCACTTTCTTTGGGGGGGAATTGAAGTCCATACAGACAATATTCATTTATAAATTATTAACTAAAAAACTTGTGCTTAAAGTGCTTTGTCAATATTGTAGAAAATGTTAAACTTAATCGTCACATCGGCTCCTCTGACGACCTGTTTGCTGCTGTCTGCTGCTGAAAGGCCGTGGGGAGAGGGGACACTTGGGCATTTATTGCAGCATATAATGTGTTTCCTGGATACACTGCTGCTTTTTCAGCATTCAAAGACTGATGGCACCGTGTCAGAGCTGGCTATGAATTTCAGACGGATCAGGCCTTAACGAAAAAGTTATCAATCGTTCTTTTCATCTTTTCTTATTACCCACAGCTACATCCACTCCTCTCAGGCCTAGGCTGCTCACTAGGGCTGGGTATCATCACTGATTTCTATAATCCATTCGATTCCAGTTCTCAAAGTCCTGATTCGATTCAACTTAGCCTCAGACAGTCAGAAATATTATAATTCTGATCATTTATCAGCACTGATACATGTGAGACTTCATCAGCATTGTGAACATCACAGCAGATGCCTTTGTGTCAAAGTAACTGAGAATAAAACAGAAAAACATGAAGGAGATTTTCCTGGTCTGGCTTTTTATAGCAGATAACCTTAAAAATATTCTGCAATTTTGCATAATTTTAAAAAGTTTAAATTCCTTCAGTATTGAACAGCAGAAATGAGGCTTTCTTGTCCGAGGTCATTGAAGTGAAAAAAGGAAAAGACAGCGCTGTAAATAAGGGTAGACTGGTGGGTAACAAGCGAATGAATGATGCAGAAAACAGATTTGAGACGGGAAACTGTTCCTGAAGTACACACAGAGAGCTGTGCAGGAAGTGTGATTTTTATCATGGTGGAAGCAAAACAGCAAAAGTCAGAGGGAATTCATGACGACATCGATCAAATGTGAAGCGCAGTTTGCTGCTTCTTTTGCTGCTGGCTCTGTGGATTTTGGTTGGAGAGACAAAACCTGCAGCTCAGAATCAGCACAAAAAGACGTAAACACAGCGGACGCATCAGGATCGCTGAGCTCCGACAGCGTGTCCGTCTGCGGGCCGTCGGGTGAGAAAGCCGAGAAAGACAAAGCTGATTCTGATGCGTCGGCTCTGTGTTTACGTCTTTGTGTGGAGTCCGTTAATGAATCGATATCGCTTTATTCAAGCTACTCACCTCCCAATTCCACCTGCACTTTCAACTGGACCACGGCCAATCAGAGAGGTCCCGCCCCTGACTATCTCTGATTGGTTTAGTCCACGATAGGGGCATAATGTGTGTCTGTTGTTGACCACACGGAGAGTTGCAGAGATTTTCTTTTTCTTACCCGAACAGGTGGTCGCACAGGTGCAACCAAATATTTATTTTAGTCGCATAATTGAAAAATTTGGTCGCATTTGCGACTAAATTGGTCGCACTCTAGAGGGTCACCTGCAAGTGTTCCAGGTGTGGATGAGGACGTTTCGTCTGATGAGGAAATGAAGGCTCTCAGTGAGCGTGTGATTCTCTCACCTCTGTCTTCTCTTAGTGGTTGGATGATGGCGGCGAGCCTGAGTCTGCCATAGATATTGTCATGTGACCATCAGAGCCCCTCTGAGGTCAGCTGGAATCAGACGATGGATGAAGAGGAACAGAGGCTGAGCAGATTACAGTACCTCCCCTCCCCCTCACACCGATGACCTACTTCAGTATGAATCGAGGGGTGGGGGAGGGGCTAAGCACAAGAGGATTATAAAGATGACATTAGAGGAGGGAACGGGGGAGGGGCATGCTGTGCTCTGAGTAACCATCACCTCCCTCCACAGGGCTGATCCTGCTCTTCTACCTGATCTTCTACCTGTGTCTGGCGGGCATGTTCGCCTTCACCATGTATATCCTGCTGCTCACGCTCGACGACTACAAGCCCACCTGGCAGGACCAGCTGGCCACTCCAGGTGAGGACACCACACCCACAACAGAGAGGGGCGGGGTTTATCAACAGAGGCTCATGAGGCTCAGCTGTGATTGATTAGCGCTGACCTGCTTCCTGTTTCAGGGATGATGATTCGCCCAAAGGGAAACCAGCTGGAGATCACCTTCTCCACCTCAGACACCGAGAGCTGGGACGGCTTCATCCACAATCTCAACTCCTTCCTGTCCCGTAAGAGCCCCGCCTCTTTAACCACTTATCAATATAACTGAAAGGTTACCTGCCCACTTACCTGTCACACCTGCGTCTGTACCTGTGTGTCTGCAGCGTACAATGACAGCTATCAGGTTCAGACCAACGATGAATGCACACCTGACGAGTACTTCATCCAAGAGGACAGCGGAGAGGTACGCCTGTCTGACCCACACCTGTCTGACCCACACCTGTCTGACCCACGCCTGTCTGACCCACACCTGTCTGACCCACACCTGACTATCTCACCTACACCTGTCTGACCTGCTCTCTCTGCAGGTGAGGAACAATCCCAAACGTTCCTGTCAGTTCAATCGGACGATGTTGGAGGAGTGTTCGGGGGTTTTGGATCGTTTCTATGGTTACGACAAAGGACAGCCCTGTATCCTCATCAAACTGAACCGGGTATGACCTCTGACCCCCATGTTAAGCCACTCTACACTCTAGTGTTACTGCAATGAAAATGGTTTTGCCAGAGGAGGAAGTGCTTCCTGTCTGTAGGTTTCAGAAAGTGGCCAATCAAAAGAGACTTTTAACCTCAAACCCTCCAATGACATTCTCACGAGCTGTTCTTCTACCTGCTGCAGGTGATCGGGATGTTACCGGGGAAGGAAAGACAGTCTCCTTATGTCACCTGTGCAGCAAAGGTCTGTAAACCTGTCTGTCTGTAAACCTGTCTGTCTGTCTGTGGACCTGTCTTCATCTCACCTGTGTCGTCTCCATCCTCAGAGGTACAGAGTGGGTGAAAATGAGTGGGTAAGACCAGCAGACCAGGAAGTAGATCATGATAGAGTCCCTTAGTGCCTCCATCACAGAATCACAGCAGAGTTACGTGTTAGTAACCTCCAGTTCCAGGTTATTGAAGCGTATTGACGACCAATCAGAAGTATTGATCAGTGTGTTTGTGTGCAGAGGGAGGACAGCGACAAGATCGGACCTCTGGCTTATTATCCTCCTAATGGGACCTTCAACCTCATGTACTACCCGTACTATGGCAAGAAGGCCCAGGTACTCGCTCAGTATTCACTCAGTGCACACTCATGCACATGCTCAGTACACACAGAGTACTGTACTAATACTGACATGCGATGTGTTTACTGTCTCAGGTGAACTACACTCAGCCTCTAGTGGCCGTGAAGTTCCTGAACGCCTCTCTGAACACAGACATCAACGTGGAGTGTAAAGTGACCTCCAACACGCTCGCCGCCGGCAGTGACAGGGACAAGTTCGCCGGACGCGTCTCCTTCAAACTGCGAATCAACGACAAATAGACACACACACTGACACAGACACAGACACACACAAACACACACAAACACGTGAAAGCTGCACTCATCCAGATGTTTCCACTTCCTGTCACAGCCTCACACTGACCAGCTGTATTTTATATTTCCATGTTGTGTTCACTGACCATGATGGTGATGCGTTCACTGACCAGGGTCATGATGCATTTACTGACCATAATCATGATGCATTCACTGACCATGATGACGATGCGTTCACTGACCAGGGTCATGATGCATTTACTGACCATAATCATGATGCATTCAGTGACCATGATGATGATGATGCGTTCACTGACCAGGGTCATGATGCATTTACTGACAATGGCCATGATGCATTTACTGACCATGATCACGATGCGTTCACTGACTGTTTAAAGTGTCTGTTTCTCACTGGATTCCCTGGTAGTTGTAAACACACAGTTCCTTTCTCTGATAGGACCCCTCGGTGCAGCTTTAACTCAGACACACCCACCCTCAAACCAACCAATCAGCACGCACACATAGTCTGATGTCACTGCCACTGGAGGCCAGTGACAGGCCAGTGTTCACCTCCATGGTGGATCAGTCTGCATGAATCAAAGAGAGAATTATTGATCCCTCAATGTACACTTTATTGATTGTTTATTTATTTGTTTGTTTACGATGTGTTTGTTTACACTGACATTCTTTAACTAAGTCAGAGATGAGACATGTGAACACAGAAACACTCAGACGTCGACCAATCACAGTAATTAATGACCTCATAGTCAGGTGACTGCCAGTCTGGAGTCAGTTCTCAATTCTCTGATAATGAACCACATCTTCTACATCATTCCCAGTCCAGAAGCCACAAACCCTAACTGGTTTGTCTTATCGGCCATGATAAATGTCTCCTCGTTTGTTGCCACGGAAACAGCTGAACTCACAGCCAATCGGAAGCTAGCTTTAGTTTCCATTCCCGCAGCTTTAGTGTGATGATGTCACCTCGTTTCTTCTTGTCCTTTTTGTGTGGCTGCAGCTGATTGGCTCCTTAGTTAGAAAATCAATTAGTGCTCACCTGGGTGAGTTAGGTTAGTTAACGAGGTAGGAAGTCGTTAATGTTTGCTTTTGTTTGTTATTTATTTGTTTGTATGTGTGTTTCTGTTTCCACCATGGGACTGAGCATGACAACACACACACACACACACACAGTCAGTGTCCTCAGCTCCGTCGGGGAAACACCCCCACTTACCTGTACTCCTGTCCACCAATTGTCTTCCTTTAAAGAAAGGGCCTGGCCAATCAGAGGTTCCTGCTGTATGATGTCATCTACTGTTACCTGCTTGTAACTGGTTGATTTCTCCTGCCTGAAAATGTCCTTGTGTTCAAACAGCGAATAAAAAAAAGCAAGAAATTAAACAACAAAAAACTATTTATGTGTATTTCATTGGGGGGGGGGGGGGGGGTCTCCTGGATGCAGTGAACACATCACTGCATCACCTGTGCAGTGATGTGTTCCTGAGGATGTTGTCATGGAGACGAGCATCTTCCCGGAGGATGGGTGAGTTTCTGTCAGTGCTGAGACTGTTTCATGTGTCTTACATAAGAGCCTCAGTTATATAAGAGCATGAGTTATAGACAGAGGTGAGCCGTGAGCCCTCTGCTGGTCACAGCCATGCATCACAACCAGACGGCCCATAATAACTACATGTCACTGTGACCATTCAACACTGCCACCTGCTGACAACCCTGCAGTACTGCGTCTTCTTCACAAACAACAAACACTTTGATATAATGTTTTTAAGACAGTAGTGTATCCATGGTTACCATGACTGTGTAGCCAGGTACGATGTGAGTCGAACCTGAAGTTGACAGGGTAACCACACATCCTGTAGTCAAACAGGTTACATGAACAGCTACCTGTAGTGAGTTATTAAAGGTGAGCCAGAGTCAGATCACAAAACAAGTTTGGCAGTCGAGCGATGATGCAAAGATACTCGGTAAACAAAACTATTTTAACAATCTCCATGGAGACAGGGACAGTGACGACTAGGGGAGGAAAGGTCCATTTCCACGACATCAGGACAGCTACAGTATCTGAAGCTTGGATCAAACACAGAATAACTCATCGAGCCGTTATCAACGAAACAACCTGGTCGTTTACGAACAGTTTATTAAGTTCAACTTCACCAATCCAATAATTTTGACTGCCTTCTTTTCTGTTCGAATTTCTAAAACTACACGTACCATCTCTCTGGCTCTTGAATAAACCTTAAATACCTGCAGGACTCTGTTAAGGTCTAGCTCCGTGCTGGGATGTCCCCTGGAGTCTGTGGAGGTGGTTGGCGAGAGGAGGATGTTAGTAAAGCTGACATCCATCATGAACAACCCACATCACCCACTGCATGAGTCTGTGAGTGGGCTGAGCAGCTCCTTTAGTCAGAGACTGAAACACCCTCGCTGCAGGAAGGAGCGCTTTGGCAGATCATTCATCCCAACAGCAGTTAGACTCTGTAACTCCTCAATCACGATGTCATGAGTCACTGGACACTGTGAACATCCACGGTCACCACTTCATGCATAATGGACCTTCATGTGTACGGACATGTGCAGGTATACATATCTGTATATGTATACATATGTATATCTAGTGTGTACATGTCTATACATAGGAATAGTAGTGGTACAATAGTTATGTTAAGCTATATAGTTTATGTCCTGCATATTTCCAACCATATCCATAATCACATACTGTGTATGTATCTTATCTGATCTTGTCTTGCCTTATCTTATCTTATACCAATCACTCAAACTGTACCTGTAATACAAATGCAAGTAAGGGTAGTGGAACTCCTGGTTTCTATTACAAAAGTAATATAGAGAGAAACATGTTGATTCTGCATTTGGGACTGAACATTAATCATGGTTCTGGTATTAAAGGTATTAATATTAATGGGATTAATGGGATTACACAGCTTTAACTCAAATGACAGATGACTGTTTAAGAAGTACAGGTGGTTGGAGTGGTACTGATGCCAAGTTATTGTTAAAAACCATATTAGAATCTGATGGTTTAATCGGTTTGCATGGTTATGGACGAGCAGTTATGGATGACTTTTGTTCCCTGTGTCTCCTTTGTTAGATCACAGGTGTTGAACTCCAGGCCTCCAGGGCTGGTGTCCTGCAGGTTTTAGACGTGTCCTTGATCCATCAACATGTCTTGAAGTTCTCCAAAGGCCTGGTAATGAACTAATCATTTGATTCAGGTGTGTAAAGAGGGTGAGCTCTAAAACCTGCAGGACACCGGGCCTCCAGGCCCTGAGTTAGATTATGTTCAGCTGTGTTCCCTCCTATGTTCTGGTCCCTCGTTTGCCCTCCTGTGTATTTATGTCTTCGCCTCCCTCGTTGTTGTTTTTCCCTGTCTGTTTAGTTTACATTCCTGTATGCAGTATCTCCAGCACTCGGGCACTAAAGCTGTTTTTGAGTTCAAGTCCTGTCTGCGAGTCTGCATAGGGTCCAATCTTGCCTGCTTCACAGCCAGTTCATGACAATATCAATGGCCTTTTTACCTGGATAAATAAAGGATTAATAACCTAACACTGAGGAAAGGTTAATATAGTCTTAGATTCTCAGGTGCAATCAGTAGTTAAATGGATATTACACATATTTTGAAAGTGTCTCACCCTCATAAAACATTTGGTTCCAATTACACTGTGAATCTAGTCTTAAAGGTTTCTATTGAACGTGTGTTTGTTGGTCCACGAGACCAGGCTGTAATCTTACACAGTAAATTATCCTGGACAGAACATGTTATTATGATTACTACTAGAGCGTACAATGATGTTGATGTGCGAAGGTTTTGACCTAAATGATATTTTAAGGTAAAGATCCAAGGAAAACAGACTAAAAACACAGGAAGAAACCTGCAGCAGAACCAGGCTCGTGGAGGGGCGGGGCCATAGTGAGCAGATGGTGGTTCCCACTATGTGACTGTTGGTGTCACACCCCATGAAACACTGGGGCTCTCACTTGGTGTTGGCTCTCTCTGCGTTAGAGTGTCCCTTCCTGTTCCTGTTACAACACCCAGTAGTGTTTTTGTGTAGCTTACCTGCATTGCAATTTAATTAAAAACTTATAGAGAACTTCTTATTTCATATCCTCACGTGCTTCATCCGACGCAAACCTGCTGTTTACTCACTTGATCTTAGTTTATCTTTATCTTTAATTATATTTAGCTTAGTTTAGCCTTTAGCTGACATGTAGGCTATTTGTAGCTTTGGAGTCCAGGATCACTGAACCGGAGACTCGGTTTTGCAGGCCTAAAAACCTGATAGCCAGGCCTGTGTAGCCCATGCAGCCGAAGGTAGCATAGGCCCTGTTAGCTGTCCCCCAACAAACTGTCCCGAACAGCCGGCGAAACAGGACAGCTGGTGACAGTGAGGAGCAAACATAGTCTTAAACAGAAGCCCCTGGTACACCACCAATTATTAGCAAGTCCAGCATAGTACTGAGTCGTGCTCTGGACACGAAGACAGCAGCAGCAGCTTTTTTAAAACTTGGACACAGAGCTGATCTTATCAGCAGTTTCTCTTCTGCTTTCAATAGATCTTAGCTACAGAAGAAGACACAAACTGTACAGACCACAACTTCATCTTTTTGTGGTATTTTTGTTTTTTTTGCAGATGTGTGAAACAGCCAGAGAGCATCAGCCTGTCAGTGATGAAGTGTTTCATCCACTGACAGATCAGTAACTCTGGAGCTCCATCAACTGGATTGAAAGGGTTAACCAGAGATGGACGAGTGTGTGTGGATGGCTGCAGAGTCAGCGTGTCCTCTCTGAGCTTCATGGAGCTGTGAGAGGGACAGCTGGGACACTTTAGGAAGGACCTCTGTGAGCCGGACACACAGCTGACGTGACAACAGGAAGTGACGAAACCGGAGCCCGAGGCATCTCTCTGCTGCTAAGACCGCACGCCTTCAGTTGAAATCCAGACACCATGAAGACGGCTCCTCTGCTCCTCCTCCTCAGTGAGTCCTTCACTCAGTTATTGGATCAGAGTGTGAGACGAAACACAGCGGACCTCTGAGCAGGTCCTGTTGGAGGGTTTCAGTGGTCACTTTGTGTTACAGCACAGCTGACAGTCAACAGTCCTTCATGTACTCTGACTCCATGGATGGAAACAGATTCTGTGACATGTGAAGATCATGTGAGTCGTTGGCTGATGTCTCTGTGTTTCACACAGTGCCGAGGCTTTCATCCGCCTTAATGAGCACAGTCTCCTTCCAATCCAACAGCCTATTCTGAAGTGTGTCCCACTGAGGTGATCGGCCTCCCCTCCCCTTCGTTCCAGGACTACTCTGAAAGTGGTCACGTACAAGGACTCACATAGAAATGAGAGAAAGATCCATGGAGCATGTCCAAAGTAAAACCTGGAAGGATGATCACAAACAGAACTGTTGTTCAAGAACACAAAGTCTTGCTTCATGATAAAAAACTATAAAAAATACGAGGGGTGGCTTTTACACAATGCTGAAAATAAATAAATTAGTAACTGACATGAATTAACATCAGCTAATCATTGAATCCTCCCTTAGTTATGCTGCAATAGGTGTAGGCTTCTGGGGGATTCCCATGATGCACTGGGTGTTTCTTCTTCACTCACTATGTGTTAACAGACCTCTCTGCATTGAATCATATCTGTTATTAACCTCTGTCTCTCTTCCACAGCATGTCTTTATCCTGTCTTCCTTCTCTCACCCCAACCAATCACAGCAGATGGCCCCGCCCCTCCCTGAGCCTGGTTCTGCCGGAGGTTCCTTCCTGTTAAAAGGGAGTTTTTCCTTCCCACTGTTGCCAAAGTGCTGCTCATAGGGGGTCATATGATTGTTGGGTTTTCTTTGTATCTATTATTGTAGGAGCTACTGTACAATATAAAGGTCCTTGAGGTGACTGTTGTTGTGATTTGGCGCTGTGTAAATAAAACTGAACAGATTTTATTTGATTTGAAGGTGTGATTCTGCTGATCCCGGCCCTTCCTGTGTGGACAGGAAGTGATGTCACTCTGCAGTGCAGCAATGGGAAAATAGCTGCAGCTTATTTCTTCATTCAAGGGAGTCCACTTGAACATAATCCTAAACCAAAGCACATCCTCACTAAAGTCCAGAAGTCCGATGAAGGTTTCTATTCCTGTTCTACTAATGAGGATGGAAAGTCTCCAGAGAGCTTTCTGAGGGTCAGAGGTCAGGACAATGACATCACTTCCTTTTTATAGATACAAACCAGCCTGGTGACCTGATAATGAACTGACTGAACAATCTTCATAATCTCTCCTGTAGATTCTCCTCCCAGTACAACCTCTCCTCTTCTTCTCGCTACTCCCTCCTCTTCCTCTCCACACTCTTCCTCCTCCCTTCCTCTTTATCTCCTGGTCCTCCCTGTAGTCCTGGTCCTGGTTGAAGGTGTGGTTCTGTGGAGGAAACAGAGAGGTATGTCTCACCTGGACTAACCAGGTAACCCCTTTAACCCGAGGCTCTCTGAGAGTGACAGTCAGACTTTACATTTGATGACCTACTTCCTGATTCTAACCGAGATGATGCTCAGAGCTACCAGCTAAGCTCCACCCTCCATTAAGCTTCGCTCATTCTGGAGGTGAAGGTGTTTGCAATGGTCGTGGTCAGCTTTAGTTGACATTTATCTGGTTTCACATAGATGATGCTTCAGCTGGAGACTCTGGAGTCACATCTTCATCTCTTCACAGAGCAGCAGATTCAAATTAAAGATTTCATGAAACTTTTCTGTCTGAGCTCAGAAATACTGAAGATCCTTTCCAAGTGATGATGTTTCCTAATGTTTAATGATGTTCAGTGAGTTGTTTCCTCCTGTGCTGATGTTGCTCTGTGTGATGCAGGAGGTCGGGGAGCAGAGCTGTGGAGCTGTGGAGGTGACGGCTGTCTGAGACGGAGCGTCTGCCTCTGCTGTGAGTCTCCTTCATGCTCCTCCACATGTATTATCTGTGTTTCCACCACTGGAGGGCGCTGTGGGTTATTGATGTGTGGGAACAGTAACCAATCACTGCAGGCTGAATGCTTCTCTTTGGTCATGTGACCATTTGATCTCTGATCAGTGCGTTCTTCACTTTCAGGCCTGTTTCTGCTGACTGCTGCAGGTGAGCTGATGTTCCTACACCTGTCTGTCCTCATCATGACCTCTGACCTTTGGTGACCGTTAGTGACCTCTGTCCTGTTGCAGGTGTGTGTGTGCTGCTGCTGTCTGCTCTGACCGTTTCTACAGGTGAGTTGAAGGTAACGGGAACTCTGAGGTGATGTAGGTGCTCTGTGGTGGCTGCTCCATCATCATGTCTAACAATCCTCGGAGTCATGAAACCGCCGCTTTTTCTTCTCTCCTTTATCTGACTCACCGTTTAAAGCTGATAGGCTGGCAAATAAAGCTTCTCTGTTCCGTGTACTTGGATCAGCTGATCAGAGGAAAACACAAAATAATGTTCACTACTCAAGCTACATTTCTCCTTTAATGTATTGATCAGATTTATATATAAATTATATCTTTGATTAGGAGTAAAGATGATTTACGACTAGCACATATAGAAAAAAGCAGTTTTAGCACTCTGATCATCTTTAACAGAAAAGGATGGATGTTGGGATCTTCTCTAGTCACAGGCTGGAAATTTGTCCTGCATGATGAGTCGTGTGTTTCCAGCAGCAGGGTCTGAAACTGCAGGTAAAGTTCTGAGACTCCGCCCATAATGACCTAAAACCATGTGTGATTTAGATGCTACACATCTATCCTTCAGTATCATCTCCTCGTTCACCTCTGGAGTTCTTCTGTCCTGCAGCTTCATTTCATTGCACTCGATCACACCTGCTTCATGTTTCTGTCCTCAGACTCCCAGCATGCCCCAGGGGTGGAGGTGTTTGAGAGGGCGGAGTCTGTCCTGCTGTCCTGTCAGGTACCAGCTGATGTTTCCAGGAGTGCCACACCAGCAGTGAGGGACCGTGATGAGTTGAAGGTCCCAACAGTCCACGTACGTCTGCAGAGCGGAGTAGATCTTAAAGATCAGAACCATCGCTGCTTCAGTCGAACATCGATGAGAGTCGACGCTCTGCAGACTGGAGACCTCAGCCTCACTCTGAGAAACCCCACAGTCTCTGACAGTGGTAACTACATCTGCACCACCCGCAGGGCTGGGGACGATCTGAAGATGATCCATGTACAGCTGAAGGTCAAAGGTCAGTGGGGAAGATCCAAATCCAATTTATTTATACAGCACATTTAAAAACGGAAAGTTTGCCCAAAGTTTTGTACAGAAACAAAGGAGTTAAACACAAGATAAAACCATGACGCTCACATAAAAATATAATAACACACATAATAAACATATCAACTCACACCAGTCTGAACCTTTCAAAAAAAGGAGTGTGTCGAATATTTAAAGGCAACGTATTCCAACGTTTGGGGGCCATAATTGAAAGGGCTCGTTCTCCTCTACTTTTTGGTCTAGATTATTGGGCAACCAAAAGCAGCTGGTCATAAATATAAATCATTATAAATCAGCGTTAGCACTTTGAAATTGATTCTGTCATGAACAGGAAGCCGATGAAGAGAGA